ACACACACACACACACACACACACACACACACACACACACACACACACACACACACACACACACACACACACGTTTCTAGCTCTGATCTAAATGTTTGACTTTAGACTTGAAGCGCTAGAAGAGATTTACAGCTGCTCCTCTCACCTGCCATGGAGCACACATTTGAGGGCCAGACTGTGGAGGACACTGAGGGCAGACGGGACTGAGAGCAGGCTGCTCAGTGATTGGCTGCGGAGAAATAAGGAYGGAGACAGAATATGGGTTCCAGCCACAGCAGGCTCCGGACAGCAGGAGKAGGGCAACAATAAAATCTGTGGGACAACAGAGATTTCATGTTTGAGTATCATAGCCAGCAACACATTGAATACAACTGATAAAAATTATGTTTCCTTTGTCTACTGAGCTGTTTATTGAAAATAATACAAGCAAAAATAGACTATTTAACAAAATATTTTCACCTGCACCTATAAATTATTTTAGATGTGTCCCATCATATCGAAATGAGGATTAAGTTAAAATTTGGTCAAAATGATCTAACTACATTTTTAGATTCCTGGATTTAAAAGATACATTTTGATACCTGGATCATTCTGATATCATAAGCTTTTCCAGAGATATGATTAATTTTGTCTTATTGGTTATGATAATACATTACTGTTTGGTCTGAATCCTATTTTCATGTACATTCATTGAGTAATTTTTGATGTTAATATAAAAAGGAAACCTCAAATATTTGTATATTAAGATTTCCCATTTGGAAAGAAACAAAAACATTTCTAGCTCACAGGGGAAAAATCAAAATTTTAAGGCATTTTTCCTCAAAATCTTTTATCTTTTTGTTGCTATTGCTCAAAAAAATGCTTCAAAAAATTTTTTTTGGATTATATTTCAGACAATTCATTCAAAAGATACATTGATAAGGCATTAATACATTATGATTTGACAAAATGCAATTTTTGCAGACGTTTTMATCAAAACCCTATATCTGCCTATTTCTCCACGTTCCACTTTTGGACTTAATCCTCGTTTTGATGTGATGGGTCACATATGTGTCAGCTATCCCATTCCTTGTCTCTTTGTATTAATTAATGGATTTGTTTCTCACTGAATGCAGAATACGAAGAGTTTGTATCTCAGCCTGTGAGTTTTTCAGCTGCTTATAGATGAGTGTGCTCTGGTAGAGAGCACAAACACAAGCAGAGTCTGTCTCCAGTGCCTTTCTGTAACACTGCAGAGCCATGTGAGGGCGATTCTGGAGACAAATGCAAAGATAAACACTCAATCCTTAATGCTGCTATTTATTATTATCATTATTATTATTATTGTAAAAGTAGATTAAATGTGTACCATATGGACGAGGCAGGCACCTGAGAGGAGGTGTGTGTACGCTACAAGAGTCCTGGGAGCTGGCAAGGTTGAAGCCGCCTGAAAATCAGACAGCACCTCAGAACTCCGACCCTGGTTCAGGCTTTCTGCACCTTATGCACACAAATAAAAATAAACAAACAAACAAAAACAACCACAGATTATTATTACCATCTTTTACAGCATGAATATCAAGCAACAAGTAAATTGGAAAGTTGTTCAAGATAAGGACCTCAAATGTCTACAAAAAGCCTGAAGTTGAAGTGATGTAATAAAATATGAACGTTGCAAACCTTGAGTGATGATCGTGCAGATCTGCAGAAGTTCCACAAGCCTTCTTGGGTCCATTACAAGTTTTGGAACAACTGGGAGCCTTGCTTCTGCCTCTTTCTTATAATCATTCTCATCCTTTCCACTTAGTGTCTCCAACAGAGCAGAAATCTCCTTCTGCACCAAGAGAAACATCTTTCCATTTTTTAAATCCAAAATACAAGATCAAACTTCCACAACATCACTGCAACTAAACAAAAACTGATGTGTTATTATCAAACGCACAAGAGAAGTGTGTAAATACTGACAGTCTATTCTGGAAAATGAAAATCGCATAAATAATAAAGGCACAAAGAAATAAAAACAATTTTCTATTTAAAAACACTTCTAACAACCCAATTAAGTGTCACTTCTTTACCTGGAACTCTTTAATAGCTTTCAGGTGGCAGTTGGCTAGCCATATTGCCCACTGCAGACAGAGGAGGTACAGTACATGGTGATGAAGGGATAATTTACCCACTGACTTGAGAACTGTTCTCCAAAGCACAAGAGGATCTGAAGTATTAGGATCAACTCCTGTCATCTGCAGAACTGTGAGGAACAAAAAGAAATGAATAAGAGGGTGATGAAATCTCTAAAAATAAAATGGCTTTGCAAAATAAAAACTGTTCTGTTTTCCTTTGCATCAATAGACACTATCCCAGGCAGAAGCCCACCTCTCTGTGTGGCTTGTTTAAGGAGTAGCTCAGCCTCCGCAAACTGAGACTGAGCAGTGAAACACACAGAGGCGTTATACACCACTGAAAGCTCTAATTCTGCATGAGCTGCGTCAGGAGGGATACCTGAAGAAAAAAAAGACAAAGGACAAAAAAAGAGGTGTAAATGTAAAGCAAAGTCTGAGTGATTAGACAAATAAAACTGTATCAAGGTGATGAGTACCTTGGATTTTTCTTAAAAGTTTGTGAAACTCAGAAGACTGTTTCAGATTGGTCTGGTTGTGGTTTGAGTTGATGGCATCTTGTCCTTCAGGCAACTGAAATGACATAAAAAAAATCAACAAAGTACAAAATGAGGACGTATCAAAGTAACTAGGGAATTACAGGAAATTGTATATCCTACTCCATAAGAATTTGAAAAGAAAAACAACATGGTTTACTCTGATTATTTCCACTAATTTTCTATCCAGTACTTGATCATTTTTAGAGAATGTTTTATTTGTTCAACAAAATTCTGAAAAATCAGTAGACCACTTTAAATGTTTGCCAGAAAGTATGTCTATTTGGAATGATACATTTTGGAAATAAATTGTATAAATGTAAATTTTACTTAAATGATTTTAATTGGTAAATTTGGTCAATTGTTGGGCTACACATTAAACCTCAGCAAGAGCGGGTTATTCCCTGCGTTAGCGAAAAGTTATCCATTGCATACGTTAATTCAATTCAATTCAATTCAGTTTATTTACATAGCGCCAAGTCACAACATACGTTGTCTCAGGGCACTGTACATAAAAACAAACAATCTAAAGAAGAAGCCAGCAGATTGTGTTGAATCACTTCATCACAGTCTCCCATCCTGAGCAAACGGTGGAGAGGAAAAACTCCCTGCTAATCAGGAAGAAACCTCCAGCAGAACCAGGCTCAGGACAGGCGGCCATCTGCCTCGACCGTCTGGTTGGGGGACAGGAAAGAGACACAGACAAACACAGAAGAACTGGTCCAGGACTGGTCCAGGTGCACCTTCTTCTGGAGGAGAGACAAAAAGAAAAAACATGTTATTGATAGAAATAATTACAATAAACATGTAGAGAAGAGAGACTAAAGACAAGAGCAGAGTGAGGAAATGTGCAGTTTGTGCTCCAGCAGTCTCAGTCTATAGCAGCAGAAAGGAAGAATAATTCAGGAAACCTAAGTCTAATTATATGATTTATCAAAGAGGAAAGTTTTCAGTCTAATCTTAAAAGTAGACAGAGTGTCAGCCTCATGGACAGAAACTGGAAGTTGGTTCCACAAGAGAGGAGCTTGATAACTGAAAGCTCTGCCTCCCATTCTACTTGTAGAAACTTGAGAAACCACAAGTAAACCTGCAGTCTGAGAGCGAAGTGCTCTGTTAGGAAAATATGGAACAATAAGATGTTTAATATATGATGGAGCTTGGTTGTTAAGAGCTTTGTATGTTAGGAGTAATATTTTAAAGTATTTTCTGAATTTGACAGGGAGCCAGTGGAGAGAAGCTAAAACTGGAGAAATATCATCTCTCCTTCCAACTCTCATTAAAACTCTAGCAGCAGCATTTTGGATTAACTGAAGACTTCTTAAAGAGTTTTTTGGATGTCCAGATAATAAAGAATTACAGTAATCCAGTCTAGACGTGATAAATGCATGAATCAGTTTGTTACCATTTAAGGTTAAAGATCAAGGAATCCAGATTACATCTGAATATAAAGAGCTTTTCAAAGCTAATTTCTCCACTTTAATATTGTGTGTTAAGACTGATCGATGGTCGATGCTTGGTCTCTCGTTGGTTGCTCGGATTAACTCGATCAAAATGAATATCCTCCCACGGTTTTCCTACCTTTCTCAGTGCATCCATATCTTTCTTCTACTGTTTTTTTTTGTTTTGTTTTGTTAAACTTGATAGTATTATCACCAAATTTCTCTGGAACGGAAAGGTCCCTCACATACGCATTCAAGTCTTACAAAGACCTAAAAAGCTTGGGGGAATAGCTTTGCCAAATTTCAGATATTACTATTGGGCTTCAAATATTAGACTTTTTAGATACTGGCTCCAGTCAGATAACCCTTCTTCACCACCTTGGCTTGTTATGGAGGCAAACTCCGTATAACCTGCATCTCTAGCAGCCCTATTATATTCACCATTAAAATCCTCGACCAAATCTCATATGTCTAATAAAATGGTCAATACTTCCTTAAGGCTGTGGATTTTGATGTCATTTTGGTTTACAATCTCTTTCTGTCTATGCCCCTATAGCTGCAAACTACAATGTTCCACCTTCCCTTACAGATAGTATGTTCTTGTCATGGAGGGGAATGGGAATTTCAACTTTTCATGATATGTATATTGATAATATTTTTGCTTCATTCCAGCAACTTTCTGACAAGTTTGGTCTCCTGTGCCACCAATATTTTTTTTAGATACTCGCAAGTGTGTAGCTTCGTTTGCTCTACCTATTCAAGGTTTCCCAACCTCCCCAGGGACTCACAATTAGATATTTTTCTAAGACCAACTATCAAATTGAAAGGCGCCATTTCTTTTATTTACAACCAAATCATGTTACTTCACCCACAAACACTGAAATCCTTTAAATCACTTTGGGAGGAGGACCTTGGACAGGTTATTTCAGATCCTGTCTTTAGTACATAAGTCCTCTATTTGTGCCAGACACACTCTAATTCAATGCAAACTGGTGTTTCGCACTTATTATATACTAAAGCACATCTGGCCAAGTTTTATACTAACGTTTCTCCTGTCTGTGATAGTTGCCAGCATTCTCCAGCCAATCAGATAAATACTCTCTGGCTTTGCTCTCAGCTTTTTAATTACTGGTCCAAAGTTTTTGCCATTTTGTCAGATATTTTTGACAAGGAACTGGAGCTTAACCCACTGACTGGTTTGTTTGGAGTTACACCTCCCCAGCTCCTCTTGTCCTCTTTTCAAAAGAACTCCTTAACTTTTTTTAACCTTTTTGGCACGAAGAGTGATTATAATGAAATGGAAGTCTCCTCGACCTCCCTCATTTGTCCACTGGGTTCGAGACGCACTATACTTTATTAAACTCGAAAAAAAATTGTTTCACTTTAATAGGATCTTCCACTGAGTTTTTGCGATTATGGAGTCCTTTATTAAGAACTCTTAGAAAGATCAATTTCCCTAATATCCCACTAAAAAAGGTGGTATGATGCTGGTGATTATTATTATTACTCTTATTGATATCTCCTTTTCTTTCAGCTTTTTGACTCGAATTTGACTAGTCTGATAGACTGACATATGTATGCCCTGGCACCTGACGTTTATTTTATTTTTATTTTTGGTCTTGTTTTGTTTTTTGTCATGTTTGTGCTCGTGTGGATTGAATGAGAGAATTTTACTAATATTTAGGATCTATATTTATTGGTACATTTGTTTCTGTCTACAGCATGGTTATTTTTTATTTAATCCATTTAGTGTGTGTGTGTGTGTGTGTGTGTGTGTGTGTGTGTGTGTGTGTGTGTGTGTGT